TTCGAAGATTTCCCCACCGATATCAAAAAAAAGGCCTACGATCAGATCACGGTGATCTCTATCGTTATCTATGCCCAATTCAAATTCTTCTCAAACATTTATTTTTACTGCAAAAACATTTTACTGTGATTATATCTATTTTTATTGGTAAAAATAAAATCGGTTCAGTGGTTTCCGAGATCTATTACACACAAACAAATAATTTTTTCTTCTTTATAATATTAGCATAAATGATAATGATATATGACATGATATGATATTAGGTGAATGGCAAAACTTTTCGCATAACTCAAAAGTTCATGCTTACCCAAATAAAGTCTATTCACAGGAGAATAAATTATCGAGTTACGAAATTCACTCGCAGGCAAATGGGCCGTTTACGTAAACCATCCCGTGAATCCCACTTTTAGGGATTCGAAAGCGATGAAAGTGAAATGAAATCATTTGCTAAATTATATTTTCGCAAATCGCTTCGAATCTCATTGGCAATACTCCTAATTGCGTTTCACATACCGTTGGAACGTTACGGTAAGTGCTTAAGGAGAAATAAAAAACACATTCGTTTTCATAAAGAAACACTTTAATATATGATAGTATATTGGCTCCTTCGAATTAGGGTTGCAGGTTGAAAGTCGTGTTCAAAATGTATCACATCGTCTGGGGTTCGTATATGGGGGGTGGTAGTTACTTCCCATCAATTGAACCAATGGCTTCTGCTGTTTGAACAGGTGGGCCCATCCAAATCGCACCACGACCTCACAGAAGACCGGCATACAACATAGTGTAAGCGTCTTACTTTCGATTTTTTTCTACCGTGAGTGATAACCGAGGCCTATTAAAAGGTGGCATTGACTACCTAAACTCTAGTTTTGTAGATGTCTTCTCTCATATTAAAAGTTTTTGTTGTTAACTATTATCGATACTCGATAAGTTCACAAGCTCCCAAACTATCCCACTAAATAGGCGAGTGTGATGTGACACGAGGTAGATTGCTAGAGGTATGCTCTAATGATCTACCACGTATCCCCATCTGGTATAACTTAATTGCTTAAAGTCTTATATGTCTTGAGTCCTATATGTTTTTTATGTGAGACGGTGGCAAGCGAACTGGCGGTTCACCTGATGTTAAGTGATAACCGACGCCCTTGTGCGTAGCCCTACCACAGATTTCAAACAGAATTTGTACCGTTTTAATAGACTGGTAACATTTCCATATAACGATGGACACTTAAATACCATCTGGGTCCGACCTAATGTGAAACATATTCTGCTGAAATTTCTGGCATTTGTAATATTTTTTATATCAGAAATGGTTAAAAACACTTGGATTTCTTAATGGTCTCGTTTTCGAAAATGTCAACGACGGTCGAATTATCTTTAAGCCCGTGGACCGGTCTGATACCGTTTTCCTGGCCGTTTACCATTTATGTTGCTCGCCGACTCTGACAAATTATATCATTGTCTTCTTTTTTTTTTATTTATGTTTAAACGTGTCTTAATTCGACGCATGCCCAGCATTCTCCACTTGTCATCATTATTTTATATAAGGTTTTTAACAGTTTTATATTTATTAAAGTGCGTTTGCTGATTTCTTCACGTTCCACACTGCAGTCCCCGGCTGCCCTAGAACGTATTTTTAGAAAATTGATGGTTTTTGGAGGTTAATTCAATACGGGGTATAATTCTAGGATACAACTTTAACTGACCATTTATATTTGATCAACAATTCAAAACCCAGCTTTGTATTATACCTAGGATTGAAAGTGAAAAAGATTTTAGGATGCAGTAAACATTAAGGATACGAAATTAACGTATGTGCTTCCTTCATCTGTGTGTACTAAGGTTGATGCGCATATGATGCGCCCACAGACGCTCGTCAATAGCGTGGCACGGAGCCAGACGAGGGAAAAAAAACATTCGCCAGCCCATAGGCAATTTGTATGCATACAATTAACGCGAGCCACGACGGCGGAGCACGCGCGGCTGTCGCAATATTTCCCCGACGACGATATTATAAACATCAGTCTCAAACACCTGAGTTAAATTATTGAGCGTTATTCTGATTTTACTGTTGCTCGGAGCGCTCAAAACAAAGCTTGAGTACATCTGTTGTTTACCTACGCGTTCCGTGATGTGGAACGGAGACAAAGTACAGCTACAGATTAACAGATACACAAATAGACCTGGTCGAAGTAAAAGTACCTTCTTCTTTAATTTAAGAGCTAGGCTTTTGTCGGTGCAGCATCCCAGTAGTTCAGCTGTGTAACACTCTCCATGCTTCCCTTTTTATAGCCCTATCCTATACCTCTCTAAAAAAGTAAAAGTACCATGGTTCCGAAAACAGGCATGTAGTAAATGCATGCACTTGATTGGCAGCGAATCTCACTTAATATCTGATGAACCGTCTACGAGCAACATTAACGTTTTTGTTGAAGGTCAGAAAAAAAATTTCGAATCTATTCCCGAAAAACAAATACCAAATCTTCTAACTAAAAATAAACGTATGGTGTCTTTGTGTAATGCATATTCACAATACCTCTGACGAATTAATAGCCCGTTTGATACAGTAGCTAAACTCTATCAAACGGGCAAATATATAACTCTCAACGCCGTAGGCCGTAAGTTAAATAATTGTTCCGGATCTACCTGATTGTATAAGCATATGTACCATTCCTATATATCATATACGACACTTGGTTTTCTATCACATATATAAAAATGTCAACCTTTGTATTATGCCAATGAGTTCATAATATACGCATTTTTCCGCGAATTCATTGTATAACATCAGCGCTTATACAACAGCGTGATAAATTATACGATAGTCTGACAAAAACTTTCACTTGATTATTATGCATTGTTTTGGAAAAAGGTAATAAAATACGGACACGTCTTAATTCGAAACTTAAACCGGCTCCGTGGGTGCCAGACGGAGACTAAATGATTTACGAGCTGCTCACGCACACAGAACAAACTTGTCTCAACATTTTGCACACATCCATTGCAAGGAGTCAAAGTTTTGCAAGCACCTTCTGCTTAGATTGGACCAATATAATATTCGAAGTGTCGAAAGACTAACGGTATCCCGATAAACTTTGACATTTTATTCCAAACATCCAACCCGTGACAAAAGCTGTTGATTTTACACTAGTACGTCTGGAATATTAAACATTACAAAATCTATAGAAACAGATTTATTTAGAAATGTACAGCTTTCGGCTCAAAAATATATCCAGCGACCACTCGGAATAATTTCGGTGGCTTGCTCAATGCAACAGATTTGAAAAGGTTGCTTGCGGATATGTGCTAGATATGACACAGCCTCGTGTAACTTTTAATGATGGAGAAGATGGCTAAGGCATAAGAGTTTTACGTGGAATTGAACCTTGACTACAATGTTTAAAAAATCTCCATGAGTCTTTTCGCCAAATGAGAAACAGATCAGAATATTCCTAACTACATTTAATTGGAGATTTGTTGTCATCTGTGATCATATATGGATTAGAGGGGCTTTGACGATGGTAACAAAGAGGAATCTGAATGAAACTCAATTGCCGTGGATACCTCTGCCAACCTCGTAAGGGTACGTCTTGACGTGAGAGCACTTAAAAAGGCGCAACGTCACCGAGCGGCAAATATACAATACATCGCCCGCTTAACACCAATGCTCCGAGCCAGTATATCAGCCGCGACAGTTTTAGGTGAAACATTGGTTAAGGAAAAGCGATTTTTGCGGGACTCCGTATTTATTTATTTGTTATTTACGAGGGAGCGTACAGTGCGGGGTGGGGCGTCTTAAAATATTTTCAGTGCTTTATTCATTTACCAATACGTCTTGTCGTGACTGGCATAATGTGGGTCCCCGGTATTAGGCGGTGGCGGCGGCGAGCGCTGTTTGCTCAGCGAACTGGCGAAATCATACTGAGTACATTATTTTTTATTAAATTTCATTTTAAATATTAATCAAGAAGTTACACGAAGAGCCAATTTTTTTATGATGTAGACACAAATACTATTGATGAACGTTAAGTGTTATGCTTTCGATATCTGATCATCATTAGACTGCCCCATAGCATTCATGTTTTTTTACTGAACTGTGAATGTGGTGAATGCACGTTTAACAACCGCCTAAATATTCTCGACTATGTAACAAAAATAATACGATAAGAGTATTGACAAGCTAGCAAGCGATCGGTTCACCTGATGCTAAGTGATTACATCCGTACCTATAGAGTTGCAGATACATTACCAATTGTTGAACTTAACCATAATAAAATTACAAGAACATAATTATTAACGGGAACATCTGTAAGGCAACGGTAAGTCTCGTAACTAATTACAATTTATTATTGAGTATTAGAGGCATTCTTGTACGGTGGTAGGGCCACGCAGCAACCTCGGCTGTTGCACGAATGGGCAGGCCCGTCCGGGTAAGTACCACGACCTCACAGAAGACCAGCGTAAAGTGGAAGTATGAGAAATACTTTCGTGTTTCGTCTGGTGAGTGACGTAGCCGGAGCCCAATTTTCAAAAGGTTGTCAACGCATCTGTAACCCTCGGGAGTGGCAGATGTCCATGGGTGGCGGTATTCACTTATCATCAGGTGAACCGTCTGCTCGTTTGACAACTTTTCGCATAAAAAAAAAAAAAAAAAAAAAATAATATGTGTGCAAACAGGGTTGAATACCATATGATACGTATTTCAAAACGCAATGTCGGTTCTGAAAGTATTTAGTTCATGTCTGTAGTTCTCATATACCAAAAATGAGGTATAAGCCCAGGAATAATAATTATGACACCAATTTACTTCTGTAGTAGTGATAGCAGCCCCACGGCAGTTCGTGTCACTACACATAAGAACAATGTGGAAGAGTACTATGTATACTTCTGCATTTCGAATAGAATAACCGGAGCAACGTCTCCTTAATTGTTGTTTCAAACAATACCTTTCTAATTGTGAAGCCCTTCATGCCACCCTCTTAAATAAAAAGTTGAGTTACATGGCGTACAGTACGACAATTAGTTACAGTTGGCCGTTCTTCTCGTTCCTTCTAGACGGTCGCTTTCCTCACTCTTTCTTTTCGCTCTCATCGAAGACGCCTCCGCCACCTCTCGGGCCCCGCGCGGCCGTCGCAGCTGCGTCCAGTTTATGCGCCATCAAAGCCGAGGCGGCGATAATGGCGGGCCGCAAGTGTGCGCCTCGTAAAAACGCGCCACTTTGAATTTCAACGTGCCCTGCGGAGCGACACAGCCGCAGATTGTATACGAATTGTTGTTGCCGGCCCCTTCGTAAAACATGGATTCGGTACTCGTGGATCATCGACGAGATATGAATAAAGACCTAGTTAGGAATATCTATTTAGCTGAAAGCGCCGTTTTCACGTTATTAGGATCAATAGTTTTTTTTATGTAAGAAGATGACAAGCCAGCTGGTGGTTCACCTGATGGTAAGTGACAATCGCTACCCACGGCCATTTGCATCACTCCTAGGGTTGCAGATGCGTTGCCACCTTATAATAAATTGGGCCTCGCTCACGAAACGAAACGCAGAAGTATGACACATCCACTTCACGCCAGTCTTCTGTGAGTTCGTGATACTCACCCGGACGAACCTCCCCATTCGTGGCCCTTCCCTTTTATTCTGATTTCATCATTGCGGTAAAAAGTAGGGTTGAACAAAAAACACATGGTTCTGTTAGCGTTGCTTATTCATCAACTTTGACGCTGCAGGGTTAGTAAGATAAAAAACACAGTCCTACAGAAAAAGAAGCACATTTCTGCAATACGGCAGCGATGTCTAAAACTACATGGCAATGAAATATAATTTTAGACATGCCTGCTGTATTGCAAGTATGTATCTTATACAAAAACACAAGAATAACAATGGAGAAAGAAGAAAAAATTACGTTGGTAATTTTAGGACTACCAATGGGACAAGAGACCAAACACCTGTTCGATGATCCTGTTGGTACAATCGCCTTTAGTCTTACGTTTTAAAGGTTCTAAATCGCGCATTGGAAGAGTATGGATTATATGATCAAATTGTGCTATACATCCACCACGAGATAACTTGCGAAGGAGAAAAGAATCGTGATCTAGAATTTGATGTCAGTCGCTGAGAATGCTACTATAGTTGTTTGGAGAAATGTATTTCATGCTCAATTTAATGTGGAAGTAGATATTTTCTTCGCACTTATTTCGTCTATTGACATAATAAAATCCATATGCATAATGATAAATTGTTAATACAGAGAAATTGTTAGGGTACTAAGCTTACGGATTAGTAATAGAATAAGAACAAGAAATAGTAATAATTATTTTACTAATTTCCTACACGGTGGGTGTTAGTGATGTTTCTACTCAATATAAATTACAATACAATATAAAATTCTACTAAATTAATAAAACTTCTTAAATACGAGTATTACGAAATATAGAAAAAGTGTCATCTTATAATATCTGAAAAGCTGGATAATCTCCATTTGAAGCTTCTCAATATTCTCCAATAATTCCCTTCACTCATTTTTTTTGTTTATTCTTAAGTAATGACATTAAGTTTAATTTTAATGAACTCGATATATTGAAACGCTTCAAGTGAACGCTAAAAAGTAACTTGATCTGTTTCCTAGCATATTTGTTAGTTTAATGTTTGCTGTTCGTTATCTTATAGACGCATAAAGGTACAAGTTATGTCAAATAATTATTTAATCCCCAATTGGGGAAAATGAGGAGACTTGCTAAATGAAATAAAATAATTAAAATTACTTCGACAACGAATTCTGCATGTATGCATCCCTAATTATATACAAACTAATGTATATTTGTATGTGTGGGAAGTCGATGGATGCAGGTGGCTCAGGATCGTGCTTCGTCGCAGTCTGTGGGGGAGGCCTATGTTCAGCAGTGGACTCAAACAGGCTGAAATGACGATGATGATGACTGTATATTATTTATAATATTCATATTATTCATAAAAGGATAAAAAATATAATGTATACAGTCAATTCAAATCACTTTACATAGTACACCAAAAAGGGCTGCTATAGACAGTCATGTATTTCAGAATACTTTGACTAATACACACTGAAATTTACGTTTTTCTGTTATCACGGCTTTGACTTATCATGTTCAGACTAACCTGTATTGACCTCGGATCTAATACGATAGAAAAGTTAGTAGAATTATAATATGAGCGCAAAGACCCAATGACGAATTGAGTTTTTATAAAACTCGATCGGCTGTCATCTCTCATCTGGGTGATTATCCAAACTGGTAAAACTAAAGCCACTTAGTTTTACCAGTTTTAATGAGGCGTCCGCACACGTGTGTATGTGTTACTTCAGGCGTGCATACAAAACACATTTTCCAGCGCGTGTTTGTTTTAGAACCAAGGACTTACGCGCGCATCGGTTAATGTGCGAGGCGATAAAAACATCGGGCCCGTAATGAAATCATAAAGCCGGCTAACAGTGACACGCGCCGGTTTATACGCGGTTGTACGCGCCAATATAGGCGATAATGTGAACAGGACAAACACACACGCATGCAGGAAGTGCAACAAGAGCTACGCGAGTTCGGAGCGACGTGTTTATAAATACCGCACTCTCACCTTCGCTTGTTGTCCAAAATTATCACGTCGACGGCGGCGGTCCGTTTAGCAAGCGATAAGCGGTTAACTCTTTACCAGGCACCTATGAAGGATAAAATAAGTTACAACATAACAAAAATCCAGTATTTTTTAATGTGAAAAGTTGACAAGTTTGCAGCCGATGCACTTGATGTTAAATTATTACTGCCCATCGATATCTTCAACACCTGAGGGGGTGCAGATCCAGCACCTTGCTCACCAGATGGAATTCCCCTTACAGATCGGTCTTCTGTGAGGCCGCGGTACTTCCCCAGATGAGTCTCTGCCCATTCGTGCAACAGCCAAAACAGCTGTGTGGCCCTACCACATCGCATATCATACTCACATCTCACAATTATTATTCTATATACTCGGATGTGGCATGTTGTTCACACATTTTTAACGATACAAAGATAAGGCATTGTAGGCCTTAAAAACAAACAACATGATAAGTTCCGCCACCTCCACTTTTTTATGTAGCTTAATTTTTAAAAGCGGTTTTTTGATGGAAATGAGATAATAATACTAATTTGTCAACTGGAAATTGGTTCATTTATTATTGTGTTATTTAAAGGTAAATATTTTGCTACAAAATGTTATGACCGACTCAGAAACAGTAAAAGTTTGGGCTGAAATTGATCAATTTGCCAATGCTTTCAGTTTTAGCATTTATATTCGTATTATATGTGATTAAAAACGCGAACAACTTTTCTATTCTAGTGTTACTGAAATAATTAAAAAAAATGTGCATAAAAAATTTTCACCGCTACCGCTCATGAATTGGACCAGCCTTAGAGTGCAATATACTGCGTTGCGTGGCCCTGACTGGGCTAAGGCCAATCGCCTTAGGGTGAACACTTAGTCATAAAATTAGCGACTCGTATGCAAAAACGCAAACGGGTTTTTTATCACGTTGGTACATATTTCATTATCGTCTTTAAAAGTCTAAAAGAGTTACATAAACCCGACACTTACCTGGAGTTTTATTGCAATGTATACAAAGCATTATGAACATGAGAATATAGTTCAAAATCGTACGACATTCTCATTTATTTTGTACAAAAAATGCATTATTACAAGTATAGTGGTAAGTGGTAATATTTTGACGACAGCTTGCTATCAAATCTTCACTAAGGTTACTTCTTATTTAAAAAAAGATAAAATAAATTATCTATTTCCCATACGCTATTCACGTCAAAATTATTTTTAATCAGTGTTTACATTATGCTGTTACGTATACAGTATGTACACATACTGTTCTTTTGTACTTATTGAACAATATCCAGTTAATTAGTCTTACCTCTTGAATAAAAGAGACAAAACATAATTAGAAGGGGTGTCGCTAGATTATTTAAAAATTTCCAGATAGTAAAAAAATATCTTAATAAATTTCTCTTCAGGACAGTTGCCCGTGTTCAATTAATAAAACAAAACCAAGTAAAATTATTCCCTGTGCTAAGCGCGCACCTGACCGGTATAAAAATCTCTTTTTTTTTTTTTCAACATCAGATAATTATTATCTGTGGAGATATTAGTTACTCATACTTTGGAGGGTTCGGAGCTGTCACCCGCGAAGCGGCCAGTGCTCAATACGAAGTCACAGCGAGTAGCAAAATAAAAAAAGAAAAGGAAACAATCGTTAACCGAGCGAAATACGCGGTAAACTGACAAGGGTGAAGCGTTATCGTCTAATTAACATTCATTATCGCGGCTCGCGGCAAAAGTGCAAGGCTTGCCCTTGACGGCGGCCACACATGCGCGCGCGCACGCACACCACCGGCCGTGTTTATTATTTACGGACGCCGCGCCCAAGGTCCCCTGGAAGGGAATCGTCGGAAAATTGGCATGTGTTTACGCTTAATACCTACGCGATATTCTCGGAAATACATTAAACGAGCGCACTGTCGCAAATCCAGCGCCGGCCGAGAGAGATCGGGGGAGCGCGGTTAAATCGGTGTTCGACAAATGCGCGACGCCAGCGCCCCCTCGTCGGCCATTCTTTACGCGGAACACTCGCGCGTTTGACAACCAGAAATGGCGCCAAAATGCTACAAGTACAGGCGTAATAAAATACATCGAAAGCGGATTCGAGCTTAATTATATTCAAATATTGATACAGTTAAAACTGTAAACTCGCATATCGTTAGTATTAATTTAAGAATTTAGAAAGAAAATACTAATTTTTTTAGAGTGACTAAAAATCGATGCTTGTATAATATTCTATTAAAATGCTTCTATGTTTATCAGAAGGATACGAATAATACTCCACTCTGACGACTATTTCAAAATATACAGCGATCTGTTTATAAATTTCCAACTTTTGAACTTTGCGCTAAGATGTAGGTACAACGCAATTGTTGCACCGCTGTGGAGTAAATTAACAATTTATGCGCTATTTGCGCAGTTAAGGCACGTTGCAATTAAAAAGCGCAGCTCAAACATATTTATGTGTGTTGTAATGTGTATACTTAGTATCTTTACATGCATGTTTACTAAATAAATAATACGTATCTCGATTTTTCATGACAGATCACTACAATTGGGTATTTGAAATAAAAAAATTAGACTGTTTTATGTATTTAAAAACTTCTT